GTGGAGTGTCCTCTTTCTGGACACTCAAAATATGGTAACCCTATTATACATATAAGGAGCTGATACAAAAATTTAGCAGAAAATGTTGGAGTGCATTTATGTATCAAGACTGTATCTTGTCCATGTTCACTGAAAAATTTGCTAAGGTTCTTGACATTTTTGATCAAATCTGTGCCAAGTTTTAAGTGAACCAGTGTTGATTTATGGCTGTGTAACAAAATCAGATGAAGTTTATAATTCCATGAGGTTTCTGCACAAAGCCGGGGGAAACTTGTCATTTTGCTTTGAGTAAACCTTTGCTGAGTTTAAAGTTTTTAATGAAATCAGACAAGTTTATCGAGAAAATGTTGTCTATTGATCGACAACAGCAGTAAGATGCTAGCAGATAGAGACAGGCCTAAACTATATACTTTGGATCCAGATCCTAAGGCAAACTTCTCCAAAGTTTAGGGTTGTTTAAATCTAAGACTTTGGTCCATTATAGAGATCTGGAAACATCCACAAAATATGGAACCAGATTCAAAATTTCCCAAAGCATGAGTGTTCAGACACAAGACTTTAGTTGGGACCAGTCTTGACTGGTAAAAGTTAATTTTCACATCTTTAAGTTTTGAGGTTTGATATTTCCCCCCCCCTCAATTAAATGACAAGCCCCCAAGTTATCCATGTAGTAAATCTGAAAGGCATGATTTCTTGCCTCCCTAAGATAAAAGTAACCGTGGTATGCTCATCCTTGACTATAAGGGCCTGCATACATTGTGAAAAGTTTCCATGCTGGAGCATCCACCATGGTAGCACAACACGCAGCTAATGAACAATTCAGTCTTGCACTGTAGATAGTCAAAACATTGTTCAGTTCCGTGTTCTCAGTGACTGTAGCATGATTCTGTTAAAACACGGTAGTCTTATCTGTAATGTAAGACCAAACAGTATTTTAACCATTTTGATTTGCAACCATATTCTGCATCATGGTAACTTTTCCAAGCAAAGCTCAGAAGATATGAACTCAGGTGAATTGAAGCGGAAAAAAATGTTCGAATTTTTTTCCTGTGAAGGAAAACTGCTGCATCTTCCTCATCTTGAGCTCCTGATAGTTTGTTGCTGGCAGCTGCAGAATAGCTAATCTGGCAAAGCTTTCCCTTCTTAAAAATCCAAACTAACAAAAGAAGCCCCATGGGAAAAAATGTTCTCAGAACACAAGAATTTCTAACTTTTCTTGGGCCAAACAAACAAGTCAGAAGAGATTTTACAGGCTGATTCCCACTGGGAAGAAAAAAAAAAAAGAGCAAGCAAATATTGCTTGCTTGAGTCTTCTCAGACGAAGACCCCAATGGTGCCAATGACTAAAAATTCACTTTGAAAAATTGTCAGCAGTGAATATAATTTAAGCCCAGCAGCAGCAGGTCCAAGCTTTGATATTGCTTCCAGCTGCTGTTAGCCCTGGCTTTCCAGAAGAATCAGCATGCACACAGAACACAAAAGCTTTGTCTCCATTGGGAACTTGTCCAGTTTCCAGCAAGCAGTGGCTGGAGCTATACAAGTCCAGTGCAAGCCCAAAGTGTAGACTAGAAAAGCCATGATTTACCCTGATGGATTTTATCCTTGCTTGAAACCTAGAACCTAAAACAGAGCTTCATTTCACAGTAATCTTACAGTGACCTTTCTTGGGCAATAGAAAAGAGAAAACTATAAACTATTACAACATTTGCATTTCTAATATGCCTGTCACTGTTGTATCTAGATCAGTGGTTCTCAACCCACAGCCTACTGGCCACTTGCAGCCATCAGCACACAGCTGCGGCTCCTGTGACATGCTCAGAGCCATACAGATAGAATATATATTGTGTGGATGCGGCCCACATAACACACAGAGAGCTGCATATGTGGCCCACAATGGTAAATAGGTTGAGAACCACTTCTTGCATGAACTGCAAAAGTGTTTTTCTGACTTGATCCTTTCCTCCATCATACATAGTGATGCAAAGTATAATTTGTAGTTTCTCTACAAGGGGAAACTTTCTCTTCATTTTGTTACTATTGTACCCACTTCTGTATCAACACCTCATTTTTCCTGTGTTGCATTGAGGTACTAAGGACAGTATCAACATCCCAAGTCCCTGAGGGTCAGAAAGGTTTTGTAGTATCCCTGTGGTTTCGATTCTTGTGGTGTCTTCCATGGAACTTTAAGGAGGGAAAGTTCTGAGTGTCAGACTGCCAATGAGGAGGAGTTCATTCCATGTGCAGACATGACAGGTGATTCTTTTCCTCACCAAGCCTGTGACTTCATGTTTGAAAAAGACACTGAACCATTTCCTAGGCACAGAGCAAGATTGAACCAGTATCTGGTGGGACAGAGGAAACAGACAACCCCTGGGCTACTTGACTTTTGGCCCTTCTCCTGGATTCACTGGTTCCCTGGCTCTCAGAGGAAGCAAAGTGGCCTGCAGTATTTATTTTCTGATATGTAAAAAAACGTATCTTGTGGGGTCCTACAGGCGTCTGTCCTGGTCCTGTACTACTCAGTATTTTCATTAATGACTTGGATAGTGGATTGGAGGTATGCTTATTAAATTTGCAGATGACAACAGGCTGGGAGGGATTGCAAGCACTTTGGAGGACAGGATTAGAATTCAAAACAGCCTTGACAATCTAGAGAATTGACCTGAAATCAACAAGATGAAATTCATTAAAGACAAGTGCAAAGTACTTCACTTAGGAAGGAAAAATCAAATGCACAAGTACAAAATAGGGAATAACTGAGTAGGTGATAGTACTGCTGAAAAGGATCTGGGGGTTAGAGTGGATCACAAATTGAATACGAGCCAACAACGTGATGCAGTTGTGAAAAAGATGAATGTTGTTCTGGGGCGTGTTAACAGGAATAGTCGTATGTCAGACATGGGCAGGGGTGCTGGAACAATTTGTATAGTGGGGGTGCTGAGAGCCATTGAACCAAACTATATGATGGAAACCACTTTAAGCCAGGGGGTGCAGCAGCACCCCCAGCACCTATGGACACGGGTGGTAATTGTCCTGCTCTATGGGCACTGTGAGGACTCGGTTGGAGCGCTGTGCCCAGGTCTAGGCACCACACTTTAAGAAAGATGTGGAGAAATTGGAGGGAGTCCAGTGGAAAGCAACACAAGTGATAAAAGGTTTAGAAAAGCTGACCTATGACTGAAGGTTAAAAAAAAAATGGACATGTTTAGTCTTGAGAAAAGAAGACTGAGGCGGGACCTGGTAACAGTCTTCATATATGTTAAGGGCTGTTATAAAGAGGGTGGCAATCAATTGTTCTCTATGTCCACTGAAGGTAGGACAAGAAGTAATGTGTTCAAAATGCAACAAGAGAGATTTAGGTTAGTTAGTAAGGGAAAATCTTTTGACCTACAAGGCTAGTTAAGCTCAGGACTAGGATTCCAAGGGAGGTTATGGAATCTATATGATCAGAGTTTTTAAGAACAGGTTAGACAAATATCTGTCAGGGATGGTCTAGGTATATTTGGCTCTGTCTCCGCCCAGGGGGCTGGACTAAATGACCTCCCAAGATCCTTTCCAGCACTACATTTCTATGATTCGATGTTTATAATGCACTAACCAGTCATCTCAGCCCAGCTGCAAAATTAAAAAAACAATAATATAAATGAGAGTTAATAAGCTGGCATGAACAATGTGAACAAATCACTCCCCAGCTACAACCTCCAAAACCCTCTGCCACTCAGAAAGAAACTGGGGAAGCAGAGAACCCTTGAAGCTGCCCTGGCAGCAAGTGAGCCCAGAGGCAGGAGAGGTACAACATGGCTGACAGGGAGCAGGGTGCAACATATCCAGGGCCACTGATTTATCAGGTTATAGAGGGACAAGATAGCTGGCTAATGTATCTATTTAACCAATACCCATTCTCTCCAAAACCATGTATATCCATGATCATGGTAT